TGAAAAATATGTACCTTAGTCCCCCTTATCAGATGGGACTTTCAGTGGTTTCACTTATCTGAGGTCAACTGTGGCCTGAAAAAATTAAAATATTTTGTGAGAGAGATACCACATTCATGTACCTTTTATTACAGTACATTGTTATGATTGTTCTATTTTAGTATTGTTGTTGTTAACCTCTTACTGTGCCTAATTTACAGATTAACTTTATCATAGGTTTGTTTATATAGGAGAAAACGTAGTATACATAAGGTTTGGTACTGTCTGTAGTTTCAGGCACCCATCGAGGGTATTAGAATATAGCCCCTACACATAAGCAGGGACTGCTACATAAGATTTTAAGTGAATTGAGCCCAAACTCTTTTAAACCAATTGGAGACTTAGATAGAAAAAAAAAAACACAAAACCTAGACAAACAGTAATGAACTTTGTATTTTGAACTATATATTAAGATTTGTCTTTCAGGTTTATAGCTTCAGAGTCACTCTTTATTTAACTTTACAAGTATTCCTTTAGTGCTTACTCTGTGCTAGGAGGGTGTTATGTTCCCAATTTTTTTTTTCATTCTTAAGTTTTGTATTTAGTTGGCCAGCGAATCATACTCTGTTCTTGCAAAATGACTGGAAATGAAAGCCTTCTGTTTCCCCAGTCATCACCCTTCTCTAGGCTTCCATCGCGTCTTGTCCCAATTAGCATATCCTTCATGTTTCACCATCCCTTCTTTCTTCTCTATAGTCAAGTACATTTTATGTAATTCCTGTTTAATCTTACTAAAATATTATGTTTATTATATTATAAAGTTATAATATATTGTTATATATTATTATATTATATTATAAAGTTTATATTATAACTGTGTTCCGTAACCTTCCCTCACCTTCCTGTTGCTTATTGGATAAAATCTAAACTCCTCAGTTTGCAAATACAGTAGCTGCACTAAGTGAAAGGATGTGTCCAACTGTTCCTTGCATAGGTCTATTTATTGAATATTATCCTTAGGTATGGACAACAAAATTGCAGATTATCGTACATGCTTCAGTATAAACCAACCCTCCTTCCTTTCTGCTTGTGTCTTTTGGGCTGTGTCTGTCTTCCAAGTTTTTGTTTTTTGTTTTTTTTGAGACAGAGACTCGCTCTGTCACCCAGGCTGGAGTGCAGTGGCGAGATCTCACTGCAACCTCCACCTCCCAGGTTTAAGCAATTCTCTGCCTCAGCCTCCCGAGTGGCTGGGATTACAGGTGCGTGCCACCATGCCCAGCTAATTTTTTTGTATTTTTAGTAGAGACGGGGTTTCACCATCTTGGCCAGGCTGATCTTGAACTCCTGACCTCATGATACACCCACCTCAGCCTCCCAAAGTGCTGGGATTACAGGCATGAGCTACCGCCCCCAGCCTCTTCCAAGTTTTTATTTTTGCAAAAGTTAAACATTTTATGAATATTAGTTTAAGGAGTTAAATAATTGTGCAGAGTTTGTTACAGATGGTATCAGTCCCCATTCTCCTGCCCCTCCTCCCCATTTTCTCCTCTTTAGAGGCAACCACTTTCACATCTTTCTTTCTTTTTTGAGACAGGATCTCACTCTGTCACCCATTCTGGAGTGCAGTGGCGCAGTCACAGCTCACTGCACCCGTGACCTCCTGGGCTCAAGCAATCCTCCTGCCCCAGCCTCCTAAATAGCTGGGACTCCAAGTGTGTACCACCACGCAGGCCAATTTTTAAAATTTTTTTGTAGAGTTGAGGTCTTGCCATATTGTCCAGGCTGGTCTCCAACTCCTGGGCTCAAGCAATCCTCGTACCTTAGCCTCCCAAACTGCTGAGATTACAGGTGTAAGCCACTGCACCAGGCCTCTATTTTAGGCACAATCTCTTTGGATTCTTCCCCATCCCTATATGTAAGAGGCACATTTTAGAGAGTTATATAAAGACCAGCTGTGGGAAACCTTAAGTATTAGGAGTAGGAGAAAGGGTTAGGATCTTTGTTAGAGTGGCCATCTGTGAGCCAGGAAGTGATGATGTGTATAAGGAAATTTTTTAGGAAGATAAATCCACCAGTGGTATGACAGGTGAATTAGAGGAGGAGAAAAGCCATTTAGGAGACTACTTTAATTGTTTAGATGTGAGAGGCTGAATGCTTGGGTTAAGATGTCAGAATCATGAGAAAAGACTTTAAGCAAGAGGCATTACTAATTCTAAAAATAACAACTACTGTTATTTATTAAGCACTCTCTTTTTGTTGGGTACTGTCTAAAGTACTTGATTTATTTTTAAAAAACCTTACAAAAAATTTATAAGGTAGGTACTGAAAGATTCAGTAATTTGTCCGAAGTCACACAGCAAATAAACAACAGAGTATGGATTTGAACTAGGCAATCCCAAAAACTGTACTGTTAGTGATTATACTTTAGCACCTGTCAAAAATTCCTGCCGAGTATCAAGAAGCAAACACCAAGAGTTAGGATTTAAAGCAAACATGATTGAAGTATATTGTGGTATGGTTGACAGTAATGCCTAAGTCTGTTTTCAGAGTGAAACATGACACATTAGATTTTAAATATGGTTTGATATTATCAATATCAAGACATATTTATCTTGATATTGTCAAGTTAATATCAAGAAAGTTAGTTTGTTACAGACAATTGACAGTTGAAAATATGGAAGCAAATGAAATTCAAAAGAGATTTAAATTCAACAGTAAAAAGACAACCCAATTTAGCAATGGAAAAAAGACTGGAACCAGACAAAAGATATACAAATGGCCAATAAGCGCATTAAAAATCACTCAACATTTTTAGTCATCAGAGAAATACAAATTAAAAACCACAGGGAGACATCATTTCACATCAACTAGACTGATTAAAATTGAAAAAACTGGCAATAATAAATGTTAGACTGTGAAGCAACTAGAACTCTCAGACATTGCTGGTAGGAATGTAAAATGGTACAACCACTTGGGAGAATTGTTTGGCAGTATCTTACAAATTTAAACATGCATATACCCCATCACACAACAATTCTATTCCAGGTATTTACCCAAGAGAAATGAAAACAAGCATCCATAAAACAATTTTGATAAGAATGTTCACAGCACCCTTTTTTCACAATCACCCAAAGTAGGATCAACCCAAATGTCCATCAGTGGGAAAATCATAGTATAGTAATACAATGGAAGATGATTCAGCAGTAAAAAGGAAATGAACTATTTATGCATGCAACAACATGCATAAATCTTACAGACATTGTGCTAAGTAAAAGAAGCTGGACACAAAAGAGTACAGACTACATATGATTCCATTTACATGAAGAAGTTCAGTAACAGGCATCACTAATGGATGGTAATAGAAGGTAGAAAGCTGTTGCCTCCAGGGAGAGGGGAGAATGGACTAGAAAGGGACAAGAGAGAACTACCTTGGGTGATGGAAATGGAAATGTTTTATTTTTGTTTGAATGGTGGTCATACAGAATATGCAATTATCAGATCTCATATAGTTAACCATCTAAGATTTTGCATCTTATTATATATAAATCATACTTCAATAAATCCTTGTCTCTCTCAAAAAAAGGAGATTTTAGTAATAGAAGTATAGATTTGAGGATTACCTGAGTAGAAGTGCTGAATGAAGCTGTAATTTATAGAGATTTTGGAATGAAGAAGGCTAAGAAGTGAGTTGGTTGCGAGTGGGCATTGGAAAAAAAAGAAGTGAGTTGGTTATGCTTTGTAGTAGAAGCAGGTGGAAAAAAGGAATTGGTGAAGTAGAAGAGTGTCTTGAGAAATATGGACAGTTTCATGATTAACCAAAGGAGCGTGAAGTGGATTTGGGGGTATTTGGTCATTAAGAGATTACCAATCACTTCAAAGAAAGTACTTTTCAGTAAACTGGAAGCTACAAGCAAATTTCAAGAGGTTAAACATACATGGGTGGTAAAGGAGACAGATAACATAAAACTACCTTTTGAAGTTTTCAAGGTGGAAAGAAGAAAAGGAAAGAATTGAGGGGTAATAGAGCCTACATAGGATTCAGTATTATGTAATGGTTTTTTGTGGTCTTGGTGTTTGAAGCAGCTAGAAAAGAAAAGAATGTAGGCGGAAAAAGAGATGGTGAAATAAGGTCGCAGAATAGACAAGAGACAGTGGGATTAAGGGCACAGAGCGAATGGTTAGTTTAGAAGGGAGGAATTCCTCCTTCTCTGAAAAGGTGTGCATTGGTGCAGTTATAATGATACTTAGAGATCATGCCAAGGATTTGGCTTACAGAGGCTTTTTGTGGTAAAATAGAAGGAAGATGAGTTTGTTGATACAGGATAGAGATATTTCATTCTGTAGTGTAGCTGATGAGGCATCAGAGAAAGAGCAGTACATTAGACAATGTCATGGGAGAAAGGTTTAGAACAGCTGGCAGTACTCATGTGACTGTCAAGGGATGAATAAAAGGATCAGTAATTAGTAGTGAGGGAGTTTAGAGTCGACTCAGAGTCAACAGTGCTTTTCAATCCAAGGAGAAAAAGTGGACAATATGAGTGAATGGCCCAGGTTGAGGATTCGAATGGTGGAAGATCAGATGCATGAAGAGTTGCTGTGGTCAGAGAGGTCCTTGTTGAAAAGGCTGATTGTGAGATCCAGGTTCAGGAGAGAGATGAGTGAAGCAACAAAAAGGTCTTATGAGCTGAAAGAATAGTAGAGAGACTGAAGAGGTTGAAGTACTTTAAGGGAACAATATTTATATATAAAAAAATTAAAATTCTAGCCTCGAACCAGTGCATAACTCCCAGCAGCGTGCCCCTTTCAGATTCTCTTCTACTCTTGGCACAGTTGCCTTAACCATGCCCTGCTAATTCTGGGAAGGCCTTAGGTCTTTGCACTTTCCTCTTCTACTTCTTCTTGCATAGAGAGAGGTTTCCTGTGCCATCTGGTTTTCCTGCTCCATCTGACTAGGCTTACGCCAAAAGAGCAATTATGGTGGCATGCTGGGAATGCATCTACAGTGCGTGATTCATGCATTGTGAAGCTCTCATGGTTATGCTTTATTTTCGTTTGGTTAATTATATTATACCTCATTCCACAAAGAGTTGAAGTAGTTTCAGAGGAGAATAATACCCCCCAAATTCTAGAACATAAATAAGAAAGAGTTGGATCAGAAAATATATATATAAGCAGAAAACAGTTGTCAGTAGGAAAAAGGAACACAAATATGTAGGCTATAAGGGCCTAAGAACTTCACATTTGGCTCCAAGCTTTCTGACTGTCAAGGTGAATAGAAGTTGCAGGCTTTACAGAATTTTATCTAAGAGTAAGAAAGATACCTCTTCCTTGAAGAAAGCAAAACTTTTCTTAGTAAATTCTGGAATAAAATTTTTCTTTGGCATTTCTAATGAGAGGTACTTAATAAGTCATCTTGTTAAAATAAAAATCTGATCCTATTAAAATTTTTTAGGGACTTCCCTTGCTTTTGGGATAAAGTCCAGGATCCTTAACAAGGTTATCAGAATCATTGCACTCTATACACCCTACCCTTAAAAATAATAGCAATACAAAGATGATCATTTCTTGAACTCTTACCATGTGTCAGGCGATGTGCCGAGTCCTGTACGTAAATTTTATCATTTCGTCCTCTCAGAAACCTTATGAGATGGGTTTTCAATTGAAGAAACTAAGGGACAAAGAGGTTAAATTTGCTCAGGGTCACAGAGCAAGTAAGCGGCATAGTCAAGACTTGAAGGCATATTCTGACTTCATGTACTATCTGATTATATGCCTTCTCAGAGCTTCTCAAACTTAATGAGTTTCCGTCTGCCGATTTTGCACACTTCTGTTTCTTCTGCCCCGCCCCTCCTCTCCTTAAGCATGTCATTTAGTTTAATTGAATCTTGATGGATATCATTAATTTAATAATATATTAACAGTAAAGAATAGAAGCAGGGAAAGCATTTAACAGTTTTGTTAACTACGGTGAATATAACAGTTCTCTTGATTTAATATGTGGCTTTGGTCCTGTATTCCCTCCTTATCTATAATGGAAGTAGGAAGCATTTGGGCTCCTGTCTTCTGTACTTTTGGAAACTGGCTGGTGAACTGCTTACCAGATCTAATGACCAAATCTAATTATCTCCCACAAAACCCATAGCTAAGCTAATCTCCATATTGATTCTCAAAATAGAACATGTAAATCTCTGATTCAAAATCTGTGCTCATGTTGATTGGGAGCCCTAGAAAGCCCTTTGCTCTCTACCTATTGAAATCCTGCCTGTGTAAAAGTTCGAACTGAAGTTCCATCTCTTCAATCAAGTTTATCTCAATTAATTCTATCCACATAGATTTCCTATTTTCCTGCACAACTCATTTTTATCTACACCCTGCCTTTCACTGTTATTTAAAGTCTGCATGTGTATCTTTTATCTCTTAATAGACTGTAAGCTTCTGTTGAGGACTTTAGCACAATACAAAGCGTTTCACAAATACCTGTTGAATGAATAGTATAATAGTCTGCTTTGGCCTTACAGACTTTACTGAGTGGAGCCAACAAGAGAACACGGCCAGGTTAAGTAGGCTGAGGTACTTCTTTGTTCAGTTTTTGAAAGGAGTTTTCTGTTGGTTTACTCTTCAGGAGATAAACGTGAATGAGGAAATACTAACTGAATCAAGGGAGAAAATTGGCTTCCTCTAGTGTACTGAGCAGTTTTTGAGTGCTTACTGGTAGCTACTACCATACAATTTTATGTTTTCTTCTGACTCCCACACCTCCCTTAACATAATCTTTTCAGAGTATAATGGTAAATAAGAGCATATGCATTTAACCTGAGTAACTTTTGTTCTCCTGGATTCAGATGGCAGTTGGTGCTCGTCTCTGAAGGATAATATTTTCTGTCTGGCAGCATGAAATATGGAACGGCAAATGAATTTGCTTAAGAATCCTTGGGTTATTTAAGAATACGATAAGGCTTTGACTACGGTTTTTCTCTGGAATCATAGGTGTGACTAATGAAAGTTATTCACTATTCCTACGTTCTTTAGAACTGTTTCTCAGATTCATCCATGTGGTCATGTGCAGTAAGTGGCACAAAGATCTTAGGGTGGTCACCTCATCAGACAATTTGGGTACTGTTCAAACAATTAAACCGGCAGTCAGCAGATTCCGGCCTGGTAATTAAATTACCCAGGGCCTTTGTTTGCAGATTTCTGCTCCTTGATATGCTGCGTCTTTCTAGGCTGAGCATATGCCTGGGGTTTATTGATTCATTTCCTGTCTTTCCCTTTCAGTGGTAACATACTAGGATGCCAGCTGTGGTAATTGAAAAGGGCTTTGTTTTAGCCAAAATACCTTGGGACACTGGCTTAGAGAACCTGAGGGACAGTTTTTGTGGCCTTTGGTTAATATCTCAACAACCTGCAGGTAGTAGTACTAGGAAAGTAGTTCATTTGTTTTCTGTTACGAGTTTAAATAAACTTCGAAGGTTTTTCTCACTTTATTTTGCCAGTATGACCCTAAGTTAAGTTTTAATCTTTGTTTCCCCCGCTTATTATTAACCAGGGTCCCACGTCAGTATTGCTTAAATCTACCCTCACTTCTCCAGCATCTTCTGTCATTGCTTTAGTTCAGATGACCATCATTTCTCACTGGAATTACTTCAACACCCAAGTCCTTTTTGCCTCCAGACTTGTCCCTCTTCTCATCCATCCTCCATATTGCTATCAAAAATGATCTTCCTTATAATAATACCAAGATCCTTGTCATTTTTTTTTTGCTTAAAATATTTCTGTGTCTTCCCATTGCCCTTATTATAAAATCAAAAGTTAGTGTGGAATTGATATAATGATCTGCCCCTATCTTCCAGTCACACCCCAGGCACATACTGTCTGGGTTTTACTGACTGAACATGATCTGCTGTGCAGATTTACAGACAAACTTTGCTTTCACGTGTGTGAGGATGGTAGATGTCAGTGTAGAAACATATTAAATTGGTGTGTACTTCAGAAGGCTTATGCAAATGTTGAATGCATGCAGATAAAATTAGACTATCCTTGGCTGTAAAATTTAGGATCTTTCCTTTTGAATTTTTGTTAGATGTATATAATAAAGATATCTTTAAAGAGGTCAGATCTAATTGGATTATTTATAAATCTTTTAATTAACTGGCAGAGAGACTAGTAACTACATGAAAGAGCCAGCATGATTCAGAAAGTTGTTATTGCCCTCCCTCCCACCTTTGTTTAAATTGGGTCAGACATTAAAAGAAAATCAGGAGTAAGCTCTGTGTGATAGTCCTGGTTCCGCCATTGCCTTCTACTATAAACAACCTTGAGTAAGCCACATCATGTTTCTGAACCTCAGTGTGTTCTAAAAATGAAAGGGGTGTCTGAGTTTAGTAAGTGCCATGTGCTTTACTGTGACTAGTGCTGGGGATTTAAAAGAAAGAAAGACAGAAAAAGGAAGAGAGGGAAGGAGGAGGAGGGAGGGAGGGAAGGAAGAAACAGAGGGAGGGAGGGAGGGAGGGAGGGAGGGAAATAAGAGAAGGAGGGGAGGAGGGAAAGACAGAGGAAGGGAAATAGGTAACTTGACCACTGCTCTAGAGGAGTTCACTGTCAACTTTCTAAGTCTAAAAAGTTGTCTGTAAATTAAAGGAAATAAAGTTTTTCAACAGAGATTTGAGGAAGGAATGAATCTGTCAGAGATGATTAAATAAATTGTTTTTAAACTTAATATGTTTGGAAATACAAACATAGGAAGCCTTAATAAAATAGACAAGTTTCTGAAACACAGTCCAGTTTTTCTGTTAACCTCCATTTTAAATTTCAGCTATCTCCTGCTGGTTATTGGCAGCCTGCCGTTAGTTATGGTTCAAAGCTGACATTCTGTACTGTGATCAGTGAGCTGCTCCCATGTCTGGCAGCTGCAGTTGTAGCTAGGCTACAGTGAAGGGAGAGAGTGAAGCATCAGCTATTCTGATCTTGGCCATAACCATACCCAACTGAATTCTATTAATGTGAGGATTTTGGCAGTCTGTGTTTGATTTGTTCCCTAGTTTTCTGTTTCTTTCAGGATGAATTTCTATTAAGTGAATCATTGAATTAAGGAATTTCAGTTAGATTAATTCGGAAAAAGCTAATTCCTCGTTTGTGAAAGGCGATAACCAGAGGTAGATTTTATCTGCTAATTTCGGTGGTAAAAGGGATACATTTCCTACTTAAAATAAAATGGGAAAAACCGTAGTCCACATAGGGGAGGATCTTTCCTTCCCCCTTTGGTGAATGTCTTTCTGCTTTCAGAAAGAGGTCTCCAAGTGAGATAGCTGAAGACCTTATGTTTCTGTTATATTTATTTCCTTGTATTTCTGAAAATACCTTTGTTTTATCCTCATATGTGAATTATCTAATTATTGTTACTGCTCCATTACTCACTGTTGCAAAATTGTTTATTTCTATGAGAGCAATACATTATTTATTGATGGCCTGTTATGTGTCAGACACGGTTCTAGGTGCTAAGAAATCATCAATTAACAGTCTTTGCCTTATTTGAGCTTATACTTTAGTGAGAGTGTTTTAAGTTATGGGATTAAAAGAAAATGTGTTATGTCAGTGTTTCAGAGCCAAATAAGGAAGGTAAAGGGAACAGGAAGGACAGGATAGGATAAAGATTTGTTCTTTTATCAAAGATGATCAGGGAAAGCCTCTTGTATACATACTTGAACAAAAACCTGAAGAAAGGATATGTAAATAAATATTTTGTGATCTTACATGTCTTAAGATCTTGTATCTCTATCGTAATACATAATAATTTATCTGATAATAAAATTTTAAGTTGAAAATAATTTTCTTTTAGAATAATGAAAAATTTGTTCCATTGTCTTGTAATTTCCAGGGTTGCTTTTGAAAAACTTAAAGTGATTCAGTTCCTGATCCTTTGTTGTGAGTTATTGTTTTCTGTCTATAAGCTTATATGATCTTTTTGTCCTCAGTGTTCTGTAATTTTCCAATGGTATGCCTTGGTGTAGGGTCTAGTTCAGTTTGTGGTGCTGGACTGTAGGTGGGTCCCTTCAATTTGTCATGTTCTTTATTTCTGGGAACTTGCATTGAGTTACTTAGTAGGTGATTTTTTTCCTTACTTCTCTCTGTCTTCTCTCTCAGGAATGCCTTTTATCCAGATATTGGCCTTTCTGAACTAGCCTTCTCATTTTCTTTTTTTACTTTACTTTTGTTATTTTCCTATTTACCATGTTTCTTTGTCTTGTTGTTCTGCTTCCTGGAGGATTTCATAAACTTTGTCTTTCAACCTTCGTTTTGCTATCACATTTTAATATCTATGACTTTATTTTGTTCCCTAGTTATTTCTTTTAAAATAACACTTTTATCTTTTTTTTCAACTGTTTAAGCATTTTACTTTTTTATTTTATTTTATTTTATTTGGTCTAAAATATATTGCCTAAAGGCTTTAAGTTCCAGGGTCCATGTGCAGGATGTACAGATTTGTTCCATAGGTAAACATGTGCCATGAAATAACACCCTTATCTTATGTGATCCTTTTATAATATCTTTCTCTTTTTTTTTGAGAAGGAGTCTCCCTTCGTCATCCAGGCTGGAGTGCAGTGGCGCAATCTCGGCTCACTGCAACCTCTGCCTCCTGGGTTCTAGTGATTCTCCTGCCTCAGCCTCCCC